GCCTCAGCCTTCCGAGTAGCCGGAATTACAGGCATGCGCTACCATGCCCGGCTGATTTTTTGATTTATTGTAGAGATGTCTCGGTGCCCAGGCGGGTCTCGAACCCGCGGGCTCAGGCAATCCACTCACCTCAGCCTCCCAAAGGCGCGGGATTACAGGCTGAGCCACCGAACTGGAAAAGCACATTTAAAGCTGTTGTTCTACGTTGCTCTAGAACAATGCTAATAACGTTGACGGAAAATGTCCCCTGTCTACAGTTAAGCGAACAGCCTATAGAAATAAGTTCCAAGGGCACAGCAATCAGTGCTAGCTGACACTTACTAGATGTGTGACCCTGGAAAAGTGTGGAAGGCAGAATAATTCTCCCCCAACCCCAGGCAGTAAGATATACTCATCCTACTCCCTGGAACCTGTGCATTAGTTCCATTACTAAACGAGGAATTAAGGTTGCAGGTGAAATTAACGTTGTTAATCAACCGCATTTAACATATGATGATCTGGGATTATATTAGTGGGCCCAATGTAATCACAAGGGTCCCTTAGCAGGTATGGGGGCGGGCAGAAGAGGAGGTCAGAGTTAGAGAGACTTGAAGATGGAGGAAGTGACCATGAGCCCAGGAGTGCAGGTGGCCTCAAGCAACTAGAAAAGAAAAGGAAACAAATTGTCCCCTAGAGCTTCCAGAAGAAACACAAGCCTCTTGACACCTGGATTTTAATCTAGTGAAATTATGTATTTTTGAATTCCAGAACTGTAAGAGAATACATTTGGTTTTTTTGTTTGTTTGTTTTGTTTTGTTTTTGAGTTGGAGTCTCACTCTGTCACCCAGGTTGGAGTACAGTGGCGTGCTCATGGCCACTGCAGCCTTGACCTGCTGGGCTCCGGTGATCCTTCCACCTCAGCCTTCCAAGTAGCTGGAACTACAGGCATGCACCACCACACCTGGCTAATGTTTTGATTTATTGTAGAGACAGGTCTCCCCAAGTTGCCCAGGCTGGACTCGAACCCCTGGACTCAGGCAATCCTCTCGCCTTGGCCTCCGAAAGTGCTGGGATTATAGGCTTGAGCTGCCACACCCGGCCTAAATTTATGTTGTTTTAAGCCACTAAATATGTGATAGTTTGTTACAGAAGCAATAGCAAACTAATACAGCAAAGTAACTAAACCTCTCTATGTAAAAATATAGTACCTACCATCACAGGATTATTGCGAACAACATCTGGTTCTCCTCCACTTGTTAGTGCTGAACATATTGACTGTAATATGTGTCAACCAAAGAATCACACACTGAAATCCAAGGAAAGGGATTAGAATTGCAATTTGGAGAATACAGATTCCTGAAGCATCTGAAGTTGTGTCTGGCCCAGCTGTTTTGGAGCAGGGTTTTTAAAGGAAATAAGAGGAAGTTAGTACTCTAGCTTATTCATAACCTACTATCTTGATTGGTGGTAAAGGACTATCGTGACAATCCACTGGTTTCTAGGCAAAGGTCCTTGATTTAGGGATTTGGGAAAAGTTCAGGCCTCAGCATAAAGTCTTTGTCATAGTGGTGCAATTTTGCCTGCAGCATCGGCAAGCACCTTCTGCAGTCTGGAAAATGGCAATTGGGAACAAAATGGCTTTGCTCTGGCCAACTCCAGTTGCCTACTTTTCACACATGTTAGAGTTAATACGCAGTTTAGTGATAAGAGCCGGGATCCTGGAGAATAATGTTACCCATGGTCATTATTTGCAAGTTCTGTACTCCTTTCTTTGTACTCAATTAGAAACACTAGTTTCAACTAAAAACAAACCACAAAAACTACTACACATGCCTGTACTCAGAATGCTCTCCTGAGAATTGAGCAACAGGCACTGATTTCGACCTCCTAAATTAGACAGCATCGGGGGAGAAAATGACAAAGGTGCCCAACTCTTTTCTTTCTCACCAATGGTAGTAGTTATGAAAGAGACTCCCCTGTTCCATCAGTATATTCGTTTGTTAGAACTGCTGGAACAAAGTACCAAAAACTGGGTGGTTTATATAACAGCAACTTACTGTCTCACAGTTCTGGAGGCTAGAAGTCCAAAATAAAGTTGGTGACAGTGTTAGTTCCTTCTGAGGCCTGGGAGGAAAAGATCTGTTCTAGGACTCTTTCCTTGACTTATAGATGGCTGTCTTCTCCCTGTGTCCCTTCACGCTATCTCTCCTTTATGTATGGTGTTGCTGAGTCTACATTTCTCCATTTTATTTTATATTTTATTTTATTTTTAGTCAGAGTCTCACTCTAACGCCCAGGCTGGAGTGCAGTGGCACAATCATGGCTCACCGCAGCCTAGATCTCCCGGGCTCAGGAGATCCTTCCGCCTCAGCCTCCGGAGTAACTGGAACCACAGCAGGCATGCATGTTCCCTTTTTATAAAAACACCAGTCATATTGAACTGGGGACCCACCCTGACCCAAGCGTGATCTCATTTAAACTAATTACATCTGCAACAAGCCCATTTCCAAATAAGATCACAATCTGAGGTACTGTGTGGTAGGACTGCCACATATTTTTTTGTGGAGGACACAATTCAATCCATAACTCAGCAAGTATAGCCTGGAGAGGGGATAGACAGTGAAAGCAGAGCTGGACCCTCTTCTATGCAGCTGTTGCCAAGCTATGGATACCCAGCCAGGGAAGCTTCTGAACAGGGTAGTAACCGGAAATAATAAACTGCTATTATTATAGATAACATAAACAAGTTATTTAGGGTTGGGTACTGTTTTGAGTGAATTAACACTTGTAAAGTGCCTAGAATAGGACTAAATACGTGTTAACTGTTAACTCATTTTATCCTCAAAATAACCCAAAAGGTAGGTACCATTTTTTACCTCTGTAGCCCAGAAAAGTTAAGGTATTTGTCTCAGGTCCCACAGCAAATAAATGGTAACACCAAAATTAGGATCCAACAGTGGCATCTTAACTCCCACAATGCAACAATGTCGGCAGGAGAGATGCTGCAGTAGGAAAGAGTGTCCAAAACTGCCAGTTACAGTGGGAAAGAGTGTCCAAAGCTGAAGAGGACCCTTGGATTTAGCAACAGGAGGTCATGCTTTGCTAGGGAGAAACCAGATTGCAGTTATTGAGGTGGGATGGTCAGAAGGAGCAAAAAATGTAGGATACTTAAAACAAAATTTTAAAAAACTTAGTCCTGAAAGGAAGAAGGCAGGATGATAACTATGGGTAGAGGAAATCACAAGATTATGAGAGTATTTTATTAATGTGCCACTTGTAGGTGTAGATCTTTATGTTATGGGATAATAAACTAAAGGAAGGAGAGAAAGGAATGAAAATGCTAGAGGTAGAAGAAGCAAGAGAGACCTACGTGAGATTGAAGGGATGGCTTTTGAAGCCCAGAAGATGAGGGATAGAGATAGATTCGCTTTTGAGACAGGAGGAGAAAAGGATGTATATGGATAAAGATAATATTAGAGAAGGAAAAAATTTGGAGAGCCTCAATTGCTCTGTGAAATAGATAATCAAGTTGTCTACCGAGAGGGCGTTGGGGCAGAAATCTTGAGGAGGAGAATTTATTTTTTGGTCAAATTTTTATATTTATTGGTTACATATAATCAGATTCCGAGTGGCAGAGTTTTTATTCTTGTTGTCAGAAGATGAGAGGAAGCTCATGTGGATGGTCTGTTGAACAGCTCAGAGGTTAGGCTGTTCCATAGTTGCGTCAACACCTCTAGCTGTGAGAAGTTTGGCTAAATCCCTAATTGAGATTATGTAAGCGAGTAAAACAGAAGTCTGATGAGATGAGAGAGTTAAGGTGCTCATGTAAGGATGATTGAAGTGACACACCTTGGTATCTCAGCTGAATACCCCTGTGAAGAAAGTGAAGTCTAGATGGACACCATCCAACACGTAGCCACATGATGTGCTTGGCTAGTGAGCACTTAAAAAGTGACTGGTGTGAATGGAGGTGAGCTACAAATGGAAAATGCACGCGGGATTGCAAAGACTTCATGCAACAGAGTGAAGTAAAATATCTCTTTGTTAGGTAAATTGAGACAAGGTGGGCCGGTGCTGCAGGACTAAAGCAAAGAATTGCAAAGGCAAAGCAAAAGAGTGTTTTCATGTTCAAGAGAGAATGGGACTGACACCAAGAGGCAGTGACATTCAGGGGTTGAGGAAGGAGGGCCTTCTAAAGTTTTAACAGGAGACAGGGTAAAAAGATCTCCAGCAGCTGCATTCTTAAGCATTGATAAGACCAGTCTCGTGTCCTTGCCATTGTCAGGGCAGTCTGACTTGTGGACTCCAGGTGGTGTGTTGGTGGGCTGTCACAGAAGGCTGATTATGATAGATTAGGTCAACTTGGTCTTGTATAGCAGGAAAACAAATACCTAGTATAGAGGTGTAATCAATACAAGACATGCTTAGGGAGTTACAAAGCAATTATCACTAGCTACTCAGGAAAGCTGTCCTTGGCTAATGACTAGGAGGTGGAGAGTGGAACAAACAGCTTGTAAAGCATGACAAAGCTTCAGTAATGTTAAAATGGTTGTTCTTTAGCTAAGTTACTCCATTTTGACTTCACCGTTTCACTCCTTAATACTTTTTTTTTACATTGATTATATGTTGAAACAATATTTTGAAT